ACCCAGAAACCCACCCTCTGACCCCAAAACTGACCCAGAAACCCACCCTCTGACCCAAAAACTGACCCAGAAACCCACCCTCTGACCCCAAAACTGACCCGGAAACCCACCCTCTGACCCAAAAAATGGCTCTCTGACCCAAAAACTGAGCCACCTGGAAACCCACCTCAGACCCAAAAACCAACTGACCACCACAAAAAACAACCACAAACCAGCCCTCAACCTAAAAACCCACCCAGAAAATGACCCACCGACCCCAAACCCAACTGACCAGCACAAAAAGCGACCAAAAACCAACCCTCTGACCCAAAAAATAACCCACTGACATAAAAAAAACCAACCCAGAAATCAACCCCAAAACAACCAACCAACCCAAAAAACACCAGCTGACCCCAAAATCCAACCAATCAACCCAAAACCCAACCAACCAACCCAAAAAACACCAACTGACCCCAAAATCCAACCAATCAACCCCAAAAAACCACCAACTGACTCCAAATCCAACCAATCAACCCAAAACCCAACCAACCAACCCAAAAAACACCAACTGACCCCAAATCCAACCAATCAACCCCAAAAAACCACCAACTGACTCCAAATCCACCCAATCAACCCAAAATCCAAACAATCAACCCCAAAAAACCACCAACTGACCCAAATTCCAACCAATCAACCCAAAAAACCACCAACTGACCCCAAATCCAACCAACCAACCCAAAAAACACCAGCTGACCCCAAATCCAACCAATCAGCCCCAAAAAACCACCAACTGACCCCAAATCCAACCAATCAACCCAAAATCCAACCAACTGACCCCAAATCCAACCAACCAACCCAAAAAACACCAGCTGACCCCAAATCCAACCAATCAACCCAAAATCCAACCAATCAACCCCAAACACACCAACTGACCCAAAATCCAACCAATCAACCCAAAATCCAACCAACTGACCCCAAATCCACCCAACCCAACCCAACCCAATGTCCCCAGTCCCAAATTTGGGGCCGAGGTTGGAATCCCGTCGTCTCCCGGGACCCGCCCCCCCCCAAATCCCGGGGCTGGGGCCGGGTTTTCCTGGAAGGAGCAGCTCTGGAATCCCCCTGACCCCGCTGGGGGCACATCCCGTGTCCCCCCCCGGGGGCTTTTGAGGGTAAAAACGGCGTTTTCGGGGGCCCCCGAGCTCCCTGGGGGTGGATCCCGCATCTCTCACGGGGTTTTTTTGAGGACAAACTGAGGCTTTTTGGGACCCTCTGACCGAGGCAGCCCCTCCCCACAGGCCCTACACGGCTCTGGTGATCCCATTGCTGAATCCCTGTTATCCTTTGGGATCCCTGAGCTCCCTCAGGGCTCATCCCACCTCTCCCCCCTGGGTTTTTAGGGTAAACCCACAGGGTTTTGGGAACAAACCCACGTGTTTTGGGGCCCCCTGTCCCACAGCTGCCCCTTTTCCCCCTGGACCTACACGGTCCCGTTATGGGATCCCTGTTATCCTTCGGGATCCCAGAGCTCCCCTGTGTGTTTTGGGGACAAACCCCGTGGATTTTGGGATCCCACACTGCCCCCCGTCCCCAGGACCTGCAGGCCCAGGACCAGGTGCACCTACACGGTCCCGTTATGGGATGGATCCCTGAGCTCCCCCATGGGTTTTGGGGCCAAACCCGTGGTTTTTGAGTACAAACCCCCTGGTTTTGGGGACGAACCCGTGGTTTTTGAGTACAAACCCCCTGGTTTTGGGGACGAACCCGTGGTTTTTGGGGTCCCCCAGGACCTGCAGGCCCAGGACCGCGCCCACCGCATCGGGCAGCAGAACGAGGTGCGGGTGCTGCGCCTCTGCACCGTCAACAGCGTGGAGGAGAAGATCCTGGCGGCCGCCAAGTACAAGCT